GCAGGGTTGCACTGATACACTTTGAGGAGAGGTCTAGGTTTCATCTGGGTTCTTTTTAAGAATTCTTTAAAAACCTAGAAATGTTCCAGAGAGTGCTTTGCTTTTGAAAGGTTTTCCTGCAGAAGATGAGGATTTTGAAGCAGAGCAGTGCCTGCCTGTTCCCTGCACAGCTGCTAAGCTGAGTGGAACATTTTGTTCAGCTGGTTCTGTGGATGTGGCCATCAGGTGTGGTCAGGTCGAGCAGAGACCATTGTTGTACACTAATAGACCTTCTTGGTGCAATAGCACAGTGTCTTTGGCTGTACTGTACCCAGTGCTGGAAGAGCTGTCACTTGGGGTTACTTGACCCAAGCCAGGACCTCAGCATGCCCCTCTGCAGCAGACTGAGGATCTCTGCCTGTAGGGAATGGTGGAGAATGCTTCTGAACCCAAAGCTCATCCCATTGTTAGGGAGCAGTTTGTTTCTAAGAACTGGTGGCATGAGTTTAGTCATTTTGTAAGGAGCAAACATCAAACAAAGCTCAGTGAATGACCTTGTAGAAAGAAAAGGCAAAGAAAGGAAGTCAAGCAAACTGTTTTTAGTCACTCACAGCCATTCTTTCCTGAGTCTTTTATTCCTTCTTGTGAGAGCCTTCTCACCTCTGTGTGCCTTCCCACCAGGACAACTTTGTGATGTGGAAGATGAAAAAAGCTGGGTCTCAAGTTGTTGTCCAGTCTCTTACGTCCTCTGGACTGGTGATAATGAACTAGCTTTTGGACTGACGTTTCAGAAACTCCAGGAGTCAACAGTTTCTTGGGATTCAGCCTCTGGCTTCTCCAGAAAACAGCACTTACCTCAGTCTTTACCTATACAATGGCTCTTCATCATGTCCTTGGCCAGCATGGAGACCTTTCTTTTCTCTGTCCCACTCTTTCATTTCTCCTGGACCTTTCATGCATTTCCATTTGTTCTTCACTTTGATCAGCCTTTGCCTTTCCATGGCAAATAAGTAGAATACCATGAGGTGGTTGGAAAAATGTAACAGACATAGTATCCCTTTGTGCAATCCCAAACACCTGGGCCTGAAAGCTCATCTTTGTGGCTTTGAACTTCACTGGAATTTTGGTCATTTTTTTCCCTTCTTTGCTGGGGACCTGGAATGCTGAAACATCCACACCCTCCTGTCATTGCACACACACTGTTGGAGTTTTTGCAATGAAAACATAATGGTATGGATCTGGCAGCTTGGATGGTGCAGCTCATTGAGCAGATGCCAATAACAGCTGAATATTAGATATTATTAAGAAGAAGATATAAAATAAAGCTGTGAGATAGCATATGTTGGCTGGTAGCAAATATCTTCCAGATGCTTGGAAGGATGAGATTCAGCTTGGGAGTTACTTTGATAAAACTATTGCACTGTTGCCACCAGCTCAGTGTATGTATTCAAAACAGAAGGATTTTGGAAACACTGAGTAGTAAAGGTCAGCACATACATTCCTAGTCAAGCTATCATGGCACTGAGATTTGCTGCACAGCAAGGCTGGGATCCCTGTGGCAGTTTAAAGCCATGGATGCTCCCTGCATTTTGCCACCCCATCAAGAAATTCAGAAGGATGAAGCAGACCTAATTTTTCTGATGGTGCTGGTGCCTGGGTTGGCTTTATCTGGCCTAAGAAGAGCTGGTGGCTGCAGTGCCCAGGCAGGGGATGGCAAAGGTGCCTTACATGGGCACTGAAAGCTGCATGACCAACCTCTGAAACCTATGAGCTAAGATCTTGCTGGTGTTTCAATAATGATGTGTCCCAGCACCCTCCTTCCACCTGCTTGGAGTCATCCTCATAAGAAGAGATGAGTAAGCAGCAACACCTGTGGCAGGCAGTGCCTGTGAAGGACCTGCAGATGCAGTGAGACAAGCACAGGTCAGCACCCTGCCTGCAGCACCTACTCCTGGGTGCTGGAGGTGGGTGCAGAGGGACCTGCTTGTGCCCAGCAAGGAGGAAACCTGACTCCTGGGAGCTGGATCCCAAACAAAGAGCGCTGCCAGCACTGTAAAAAGTAAATAGCAGAGGAGAAACAGTCAGAAAAGAGAAAAGGTCTTCTCCTCCGAGCCTGAGACACCACAGAGGTAAGAAAGCTTTGCTAAATACAAAATATTTAGTAAAATCTTGCTTAATATTGGGGGCATCTGATCATTTGTGTGATCAGATAGCCCCACTCTCACCTGCAGGGAAAATTCTCAGCCAGAGAAGGTCTCTGACCTTACTGACAGAGTTCCCAGGTGGTGTCACAGGCAGCACTGCATGTTGTATGGCCTTTGTGCCTCACAGCCCTCTGGAGAGGGTTCACAGCATCATTCCAATGGGTCCCAGCAGCAGTTTCACTGTACTCTTGGTTGTTCCCTTCAGCTGGAGGATTTTTATTTTCCCTGCCAGCAACAGCTTTGTCACTGCTGTTCTTTTGGCTCTTGTAATTGGTGTTTAGTTGGATTTACAAATAGAGGGAAATGTGTGACTCCCTGAAGATAGACACTAGCTGCTCCATCAAGGCAAACAGGGCTGTGAAGGTTTGGATGAGCAAAACTCAGGTTGGTAGGGAATATTAGGAGGTTTACTGTGCCTGCACGGATTTCTGGTTTTATTTGAGGTGCTGGAGAGTGTGTCCCACCTGCTTACCAGCTGCTCTTTGTGGTTTTATTTGTGGCAGAGACTAGTGTGGTTCTCACATTAGGTGATACCTGCTGCCTCTGAGGTATCTGGGTGTTGTAGGATGCTGGAGGTGGCCCTGCAGCCTTCTGCTTGAGCACATGACCCTCACTGTGAGTTCTGCACAGCAGCACCAGGGACTGGGGTTCCCTCCCCTTTTGTGGAGGAGTTGTGGCACTTCCCAGAAGGAATGCCCATAGCCCAGAGCAGGCACCAGTGAAATGCTCCAAGACCCCTCAGCAAAGAGTAGCAGGGCATGCCAGCATCAGCATGGGTGGGCAAAGGCCCAGGCCTTGATGCTTGTCCTGCCACCACTGTGGGCTGTGCCTGCCACAGACATTTTGGGGGAGAGTGTCTGTTGAACCTGACAGAGTGTGATGTGGCAGCTTAGGGCAGAATGTGTTTGCAGGTCACAAAGGAACAGAAAAGGAGAACAGGTGCCCAGATTTTGTTATTGCAGAGCCTTTGGCAATTCAGACACACAGTAAATCTTTACCATTTCCCATGGGCTCTTCTAGGCACCTTGTTTGGTTTCTGCTGAGCCAGTTCCACTTGGAAATAGTCCCTAGCTGTGGGCCATCATAATCAGCTGGTGACTCTGTGGCACTGCTGAGAGACAGATGTAACCAATATCCTTTGCATATTCTTTGGTGCTGGGCTGTAATGACCTGTGACAGCAAGGTCAGTGCATGTGACCCAGCTGACTAATCTGCCATTAGTCCTTAATGGCCTCCTTTTAACTGTACCTCAGTATAGGATCTGGGTGTCCATGCTGGAGTACTGTAATTCCATGCTTTCTGTGTTCCTGCTGCCCTCTATCTCAAAGGGAATTTTGTATCTCTCATTGAGTGCTCTCAGCCATTAATTCCCTCCAGCTCTTGCCCTTCTGCAGCTTGAACACAGAAAGCATGGAATTGCAGTCTCTGCTGGTTGGCTGTGAACACAGCCTGGGCCAAGCCCAGCACTCCTGAAGGGAGGTCATCAAAGGAGAGGGGGTCAGCAAAGTGCAGATGTGTTGAGCCCCCCCTCTCCAGTGCCTGAGCATGCACTCAGCAGGAAGGGTTGTGGGTTTAAGTAATCAGCGTGTTTAATCCCTGTCCTGGGATTAAAATGAGTTTTTCTGATGAGGAAAAGCAACAGTGGTGAGGCCAAAAGATCTAGTGCTGAAAGCCAGAAACACTGGCAGAAAAATCCAGCTTCCATTTGCAATCCAGAACACTTGGCTGTGTTTATGGATGCCCTGAGAGGATGGAGATTAGTGTGCCAAGGGATGAGGCAGATGGGTTGGTTTGCAGCAGGAAGCTGTGTGCTGTGATGGTGTTTGCAGGGGTCCCAGGATGAGGGAAGAGATGAGAATGTTGACTCCATGTTTCAGAAGGCTTGATTTATTATTATTTTATGATAATTAAATATTATTTTATGATATATTATATTAAAACTATACTAAAAGAATAGAAGAAAGGATTTCATCAGAAGGCTGGCTAAGAATAGAAAAGGAATGATAACAAAATCCTGTGACTGACTGAGACAGTCCAGACAGCTGGACTGTGATTGGCCACTAATTAGAAACAACCACATGAGACCAATCACAGATCCACCTGTTGCATTCCACGGCAGCAGATAATCATTGTTTACATTTTGTTTCTGAGGCTTCTCAGCTTCTCAGGAGAAAAAGTCCTAAGGAAAGGATTTTTCATAAAACATGTCTGTGGCAGTGTGCTGTTTGGGTGAGGAGCTAAGTGCTACCCCTGCCACCCTCAGGGTCCTGGGGTTAGGGAGCTGGCTGGGTCCCCTGGCTCTGCCTCAGTGGGGGTTCCCACCACACTGAGCAATTGCAGAGTGCAGCACCTCTACTCAAACCCAGCTCCACTGGGGAGCCTCCAACAGGGACAACCACTACTGGTTGTATCAGGTCTTGGCTCCTGGAGATGCAGCATCTTTTAGAATGGCACTGCATTTCACTGCCCTCTGGCCTGGGGAAGCTGTCACATGCTCTCTTGTCTTAGCACGTCTCCAGTCTTCCCTAAGGCAATCCCTGGACTTTCCATAAAAGCAGCCAGTGTGATGTGATGACTGATGTCTCTCAGTTAACTAACTTACCCTGTGATGTTTCTATGTGTTTTTCACTAAAACTCTAATGGGAAGGGACATCTTCCAGTAGCTGCATGAAACTCATATTTGACTGTGTGTGAGAGTTTCCACTCCAGTGTGAGAAGCTGCCTTGCTGCTTTCTTGTTCAGGTGACTCTTGTGAGATTTCACAGGTAAATCCTAGCTTTGCCTGCAGTAACAGCAGATCCCAGCAGGAGCTGAGAGATGGCCACTGCACCAAAAGAGGCAGAAAATGCTATTGGCTTGGAGGAAATCCACACAGAGAGAAAAGAGCCACCAAAAGGTGGGTTTCTATTGACAGGACTGGAAATTTGGGTCCTTGTTTAGCTGGGGTAGAGGGAGGGTCCTCAGTTGTGCCACTCCAGCCACTGAAAACCTCTGTACATGGAACCACAACATCATCATCCTAAATTCCCCTCACACCACACCTACCAGGCTGGTAGCTGCTGCCTATGGCAGTGGGAAGAGCTGAATGGCTTGGCTTTTCTCAGGCCTCTGCTTTGTGTAAGCACTTCATTATATTGGTAATTTGAGGATTCATTTAATTGGAATAATTTTTGAAATGTTACTCTGTTTCAAAAGCATTTTAAATAGTACAAGGTTGTCCTTCCTCCGTTTGCGCCGGCTGCTGTTTCAGCCCTGCCACCAGGACATCCAGGGGCTCGTCAGTGGACATAAAGCTGGTAGATGTTTCCAGGCTTTTTCTGGTGCAGTCCTGCAGGAGCATGAGACATTTTTTATGAAGAGGAGGTACAATTTGACTGCTGATGGGTTCTGTGTCTTAATTTTCTTTTCATGTTTAGGACAAAAGATGTTTACAGTGGAAGAAGCTGTGGAAACCATTGGGTTTGGGAGGTTCCATATCATGCTTTTCCTCATCATGGGCAGCACTGGGGTAGGTATCTGCAGCCATCTATGCTGGCCTGAAAAAAGCTTTCTTCTCATTTTTCTCATTGCTGTGCAACAACAACCATAGGCACATACTGCTGCCAGCCCATTTTTTCCATACATACCTTCTCAAGCAGGATTTCTGCTATTTTCATCCTTAGTGAAAATAGATTTTGGTCCCATTGATATCAGACCCATTTCAGGGCAAAGCTGAGTGGGCTGGCCCAGAGCATCATGGTTTGGTCCCTGTTGTGGAGCACTGTCAGGACACATCTTCAGTTAGGGCCTGAAGGTTAGGTTCAGCTTCACAGTTGCACTTTTCCTGTCATCCCCATGGCACCCAAATCCTGTGCAATCTGGCTCAGAATGCCAGGCATCTTCTCACCCCTGGCTACCTGAAAAAATTCATAACTTTCAGGGTCTTGGGTTAATTGTGTATCTGTTTTGGGAACTTGGGCAAAAGCTGGAGGCCAGGCTGGGCTAAAGATGTAATGAGGGTCTATCCATGAAGATTGCTCCAGCTGAGGTTAAAAAGTCTGAAGCTGTGTGTAACAGCTCATTCCTAACAGAAGCCAGCACTGGGGCACACAGTCAATGGAGCAATGATGTTTTTAACCAAAAGCAGTTTTAAGAGTTCATGTTAGATGCCTGAATCCACAGCTAGGTACCCAAGCAAGCAGCTTGGTTTCCAGAGATAGTTGAAGATCTTCTAATAACCCAGCAGGATAAGAGTCTTCTCTGCCAAGGATGACTCTTTCCAAACTTCCCAGATACACAGTGTACCTGTACCTGCTTTCTTGGTGTACCTTTCTCTCCTCCCTGTCACCCAGATCTCCTAGGTCAGGCACAGGTCTCAGACCACTGTGGAGGTACCATGGCTTCACAGGACTGTTCTGACGTGGTGGAACTGCCATGGCTACAGGCCCTGTAGGACTGAGAGACTTTTCCCTGTGGGCTTCTTGTGGTTTCCCTTCTTGCTAACGCACACACTTGTTCCCAAAGGTGGTTGAAGCCATGGAGATCATGCTCATAGCTGTTGTGTCCCCTCTCATCCGATGCGAGTGGCATCTCCAAGACTGGCAGGTGGCTTTAGTGACAACAGTGAGTGACTCATGTTCCCCTAAACAGGTCATCCACCATGTGGTCATAGTCATGGGTACCACCATGGGTTTTGGAAAGCACATTTCCCAGCAAACCAAACAAATTCCTAGGGCCTCTTTACAGTGACAAGAACAGCGCCACAACTGCAGACATCAGAAATGAAGCTGATGAGAGCAGATGTCCATGCCCAGAGCAAGTAATGCCAAAGCAAATCCTCACTTCCACATTCTTATTTTGAGAACCCTGCCACCCACCCCCAGCTTTGTGGGTTGCAGCAGTGAGTGCCTACACAAAGGAAGCCACCCCCTGAAAGCCTCTGGGTTCTGGGCACCACAGTTCATTCTGCTGCCCTGAGAACGCACAGCTCAGCTGCAGCTCAAAGAGCAGAGCTGCCCCATGTAGCTGGGAATGTGCCCTCCACAGCTGTGTTCCAATCCCCCGCAGATGGTGTTTTTTGGCTACATGGTGTTCAGCATAGTGCTCGGGCTCCTGGCTGACTGCTACGGCCGCTGGAAGGTGAGTGACTGCTGGGGGCTGTGCATCCTTTTCCTGCGCTCCACAGGAGCCATGCACCTGGCTGAGCCTGTGCCTCAATGACCCCAATTCCTGCCCTTTTGCAGATCCTGCTGCTCTCCTTCCTCTGGGCAGCCTATTTCTCCCTGCTGACCTCGTTTGCCCCATCCTACGCCTGGTTTGTGTTCCTGCGGGCCATGGTGGGAGGCGGCGTGTCGGGCCACGCGCAAGGGTAAGGCTGTAATGGAGGGGCTGCAAGGGGAAAGGGACCAAATTCCCACATCACCTTCAAACAAAAAGCCATTCTGTAATTTCACCAAATCCCAGTCAATTGACCTAATTTGCAGTTCCCAAGGGCTCCTGAGGCCTGGAGTAGAGGGGGCAGCTGGTTTACATTAAACTGGTGACAGAGGGATTATTAAGCACATATAAAAACAATTAGGCAGGTAACAGATGAGTTACCTGTCTAATTATTTTTATGAGTAAAATGAGTAAAGGCTGCTTCCTCCTTAAAAAAAAAAAAGTCACAACAATTCTGCTTAAGTAGAAAATTATTTTTAAATTATGTGAAATGTTCCCACTGAAATTAAGTTTTTGTCTTGTTGGAGCAGGAAGGACGATGTGAGGAAGAAAAATTCACAATATTAACAACCACTTCTCTAGGGGCCTGGAAAAATAGGGGTTTTTTGTTGTTGTTGACTCTCTTATGGAAACAAATGAAATATTTCGGCACCATCCTCTTCCCACCTCTCTCTCCCTGTCCAGCTAAGGAAACAAAATTCACACTGGGGAGCTTGAGAGATGCCTGTGCCACGAGCACCCTGCCCCAAGGGCATGCCAAGCATTTAAAAGTGGGATAGTTTTCCTCATTTCATGGGAAAAAAGCCTTTACTAAAATGTTCATTTCTATGAACACATGCCTGTGCTGACACCTCAGCCACCCCACAGGACCTTCCCATAGGTTTCCTGATGTATAGACTGCATTGTTTACCTGCTTGTATCCCACAGCCATGGGCTGGAAAGGATTCATGCCTTGTGTTTCCCTTGCATGTAATTTGGTGCTGGAGTGGGAGGAATATTGAACAGGGATTCCTTGTCTCTGGGTGCTCAAGGTGGAAGAGGGATGGTAAAAGGGGTAATATTCCTTCTATGAGTTGAGCTGAAATGTTACTTGATTTGTATGGAAATTCTCATTGCAACTGTATTTCTACCTTTTTTTCCCCTCTTTTGCTAGACTTATCATAAAAACGGAATTTTTGCCCACCAAATATCGGGGATACATGTTGCCCTTATCTCAGGTAAAAGTGAGCACATCACTGTTTTTTCTGTCTCCAAGTCCCAGGAGATTACTTAAAGCCACCCAGCAGTGGCTTTAAGTACAATTGTATCCACAGCAAAGTATTGGTTTTTAGCTGGAGCTAATTAAGACTCCCTTCACTGTCCTTCCCCAAATGTTTGTCTTTCCCTTTTTCCTCCCACCCAAGCCCAGCTTCTCAGACAGCCACAGGATGGCTCAGTTGAACCTCAGCATTCCCTAACACATTCCCCCATCTGTCCACAGAACTGGACTGGAAGGGAAGAAAATAAACGAATCATTGCCCTGTGTTCATGTTCTAACCCCTTGCTTTCCCTTGAAAAGGTGTTTTGGTTGGCAGGATCCTTGTTGATCATTGGCCTGGCATCAGTGGTGAACCCAACCATCGGCTGGCGGTGGTTGATCAGAATTGCCTCCATCCCTGGCATCCTTCTCATCCTGGTGTTCAAGGTAGGAAGATCTCCACTCTCCACCCCCTGCTGTACTGCCAGTGCCCTGATGTCTGCCCAGGCACCATTGCCCTCCACTCCCTTCATTCTAGGGCTCTTGTGTTCTACTTTCTCCTCTTCAGTCCTCTCACACAGCAGCTTGATAAGGTCCTGAGGTCCTGGCGGGGCTGCAGACAAGCTTTTGGGAGATGCCACCTTGCTGGTGATGGCCTGGCTTTACTGGTCTGCTGTAGCCCTCCAGCAGCCCAGGTTCCAGTGTCCAGGCTGCCAGCAGGACCCAGGGATTGTGGTGATGGGCCAAGAGGAAGATAGGCTAGCTAGCATATGAAAAACATGACAAATAATACCTTCAGTCTAATGCTGGGCACAGCACACTCTTTTCAGCCTTAACATTTTCTAGGGCTGAGGAAAGTGACCTCAGTGAAGGGTTCACAGAGTGCCAGGGTAAACTACAGTTTCCCCAGGTTTCCTTCTGCTTCAGGAAAACCAGTCTTGGAGAATCTGGTTTGTGGAGGATGGTGTGGAAAATCCCTGTTTGCAGTGCTCATGGGCACTGCAGTGCTGAGCCTTGGCTGCTGGGGGCTATAGAGATGGAAAAGCTCTTCCTGCAGCTGGGTGAATACACATTTCCATCTGGGGTGCTACCTGGGCAGGCAGATGTAAGGTTGCTGTGAGTGTACAGATGTATAACCTGGATATTTAGTTTCCCTGATTATTTTTGCCAGAAAACTTGGATAGCTGAAGTGTGTCATCCAGGGGAAAAGAAAAGACAGAGTTAGTATACATACCTTTAAAAAAGGGGGCCTTTAATTTACATTTGAGTGAAATAGATGTAATTGTTTATAATTTAATAGAGCCATTTAATTGAAAACTATTTCATTTTGGAAAGAGCACCAAATGCTAGTAATGAGTTACATTTCAACCACTTCTTCCTTTTTATTAAAATGGCCTTGTGCCTTCCAAGACTTTTGCTTCAGCAAGTAATATGTGCTTTGTCTGATTTTAGAATGTCAATTAATTCAGGATTGTTTTTGTTAAACGTGTGTCTTTGGCTTTCACCTTTCACAAGCACTTGACTCAGATCAGGTGGCAGACTCCTGGGAGACAGACCACCAAATGGGATTGTTGGGCAGGGTGAGCCACTCAGCATGGGGAACAGGGGGCTGGGGCACACAGAGTACCCCAGTGACCACCTTGACCATGACCAGAGTGACCTGTGACTACTCTGAGAATAACCACCTGTTCTTCATTATCACCTTGTCCACCTTGACCCTGCAACCTTGAGAGTGACCACCTGAATCTTGTGACCACCTTGTCCACCTTGAGAGTGACCATCTTGACCCTATGACCACCCGAACCTTGAGGCCACCTGGACCCAGTGACCACCTGGACCTTAGGGCCACTTTGACCATGACCACCTTGAGAGTGACCACCTGACCTTGGGACCACCTTGACCACCTTGAGAGTGACCACCCCGAGAGTGACCACCTGGACCTTGTGACCACCTTGACCATGACCCCAAAACCCCAAACCCAAAATACCAAAACTCCCAAATCCCAAAACCAGAGTCCCCAAAACCCTATCCCCAAACCACCAAGCCTCAAAATCCCCACACCCAAAAACTTCAAAATCCCCAAACCCCAAAAAACCTCAAATCCCAAACCCAAAACCCCAAAACCCCAAAACCCATGGCTGGGCAGGGAAGGACAGACAGTATGCTCCAGCTCATGAGGTGCCCTGTGCCAACCTGAGCAGGTTCCTGGGCATGCTGTGAAGCTGTGAGTAGGACAGGAGAGGTGCAGAAAGGCTCCCTGCTCTGCTTGCAGTTCATCCCGGAGTCGGCTCGGTACAACGTGTCCACGGGGAACGCGGGGGCTGCGCTGGCCACGCTGCAGAGGATAGCCAGGATCAACGGGGCAGCCGTGCCAGAGGGACACCTGAGGGAGCCTGCCCAGGTGAGTCCAGGGATCCAGCCCATCCGTCCCAGGAGGGCTGCCAGCATCTGGGCTTCAGGGAGGGAACGGGACTGCCAACCACATCTTGCTCTGCCTCTCTCATCCTCCTTGCCTGATTTTTTTCCAAACAACTGCTGAAGGTAGTGATGAAGATGTCAGTTTTCTTTTGGAGAAATGTGACAATGTTCACAGGGGTCTCAGGTTGAGGGAAGAGACTAGGATCTGTCTCTATGTTTCAGAAGGCTTGATTTATTAATTTATAATATATATTGCATTAAAACTATACTAAAAGAATAGAAGAAAAGGTTTCATCAGAAGGCTAGCTAAGCTAAGAATAGAATAGCAAAGAATGATAAAAAAAGCTTCTGTCTCAGAGAGTCTAAGCTAACTGACTGTGATTGGCCATTAATTAGAAACAACTCTATGAGACCAATCACAGATACACCTGTTGCATTCCACAGCAGCAGATAATCATTGTTTACATTTTCTTCCTGAGGCCTCTCAGCCAGCTTCTTAGGAAGAAAAATCCTAAGGAAAGGATTTTTCATGAAAAGATGTCTGTGACGGAGAAACAGTAACCTTGGCCTTCATAACTGAATGGAATTTTTTGCTCTTTTTTTCTTTGCTGTGAAAAATTTTGGGCTAAGAAAATATTTGCTTTCTTTCCCTACTGGCAAAGCATGCTGTTCCTTATTTCCCGCCCATCCTGCAGGGGTGTTCCCTCTGCCATGGGATCTGGGAACTGTCCCTTGGGGTCTCTCCCAGTGCTGTGACTGGGCAGGCTGCACAGATCCCTGCCATGAAGTCAACCCAGCACTCCCAGAGGCTTCTCCAAGCCCCTGGCCTGGCTTGTCCACTGTGTCCCAGGACCACAGATCCTGAGTGTGGAGCCACAGACCAGCAGGAGAGGGTCAAAGGAGGGGAGACCTTTTCACTGATAGCACCACCTGTACCTGTAAGCAGCTGAGCAGCTCAGGAGTGGATTGCTGCTGGACTGAAATGCCCAAAAACAGTCCAGGGGAAGTCTCCCCCCAGACTTCTCCCCCTCTCATCCAGTCTGGGCCCTGCTGAGTGGTTGGTGGGAGGACTTAGGTGGCTCCTTTGACCCCCAAGACAGGAAAATAAGACAAATCCATTGTTCAGGGCCTCAAAATTATTCAGCTCTTTTAAATCCCTTTCCTGGATCTTTTTTCCTACATATTCAATCCCACAGGCACCGAGTATTGTCCTTAGCAATTCATGCAAGATACTGCTATTGTATTGGAATTAGTTAGGATTAAAGCTTGCCTGTAATTTAATTGAATTTATGTAATGGACCCACACTGGATGTGGGAAGGGCTGTTGTTAGTTTTGCCCTCTCTCAGGCTTAACCAATAATTAGGAAAATAAAAATAAGGTCAACCCACACCATCCCTGTGAACTTGTCTCCCCTCGGTGGTGGGACCCTGGAGGGCAGCAGGCCAGGCAGGGCCCCCAGTGCCTGCCAGTCTCTGCTCACTGGCACTTCAGGTCCCCAGAAAGATGTATGTGCCCAAAAGCTTGCTTCACAGGCAGAGCAGTGAGAGCTGACAGAAGCCCCAGCAATGCTGGCCCCCCAACAGCAACCAGGGCCCCTCTGGCACCATCACGGTCACAATGGGACCAGACTGCTCAGATCTGGGGGTCCTTGGGGGCCAGGAGAGCTCAGGATGTTCTCTTCTCCCCTCCTCCATCCTTTGCAGTGCAGCTTCCTGTGGGTTTGTTTTGGGAAGCAAGGCTTTGCTCCCTGGAGGTTTGCTGGGTGCTGTGTTGCGCCATGTGTGACTCTGTCTGTGCCACAAGCAGCCTGCGGACAGGGGGAGCACAGGAGGGCCTGGCATGCCAACTGCTCTCACAGATGCCTTTATAGAAACTTCTATTTCTATTGTATGATTTTCAGGAAAGAAGGGGAAGATTCAAGGACCTCATCCACCCCAAATACCTCAGAACCACTTTGCAGATATGGATCATATGGTAAATATTTTTTGTCTCTTGCTTATCAGCTCATTTTCTTGGTTGACAGTGTGCAGGGAGCAGGATTCTCCCATTGACTGTGCCTTTAACAGGACACCACTCTGCCTCTGATGGTGGCAGGGTGAAGGGACATGGATCACCACAGGTTTGTCCTGTTTTAGAGCACACCTCAGACACCCTGACTTGTTGCTGTTAACTGAGGCAGAAAAGGGCTGGACTTCCTGGATGGTGCTATGAGTCCTTCCTCAGGACAGAGCAGCTCCTGGGAGCCATGGGGCAGAGCCCACACCTGACTGCAGTGGGACCAGCTGTGTGCCTGCAGCCCTCCTTACCTGCTTGAGGAAAACTTATTCTCCCCAGGGATGGCCAAAGGACTGCTGAGAGAGGGCTCTGACAGAAACACATTCACCATTACTAGTGCTGCTCCCTGGGGGGAAATTAAGGCTGAGGAGACAGGTTTCATATGCAGTGTTCCCAGGAGCTATATGCAAGGGTAATACATGTTTCATTGGCTTTGCTCTCTGGGATGGAAATGTATAAATAATAGGTCTGTGGGAACCCATCAACCCAAAATGTTGTGAAGCCAGGCCTTGAATTTTTTATGTTTCTTTTCCCCTTGACTTCTATGAATGTTATGAAATATCTTTTTGGTTTTTTATCTTTCTTTGTCTCCTAGTTGTCCCAGGAGCTCCTGGTTCATTCTCAGGTCTGCATTTCCATCCCCCCAGCATTCCCTGCCTTCCCAGGTGGCCCAAATTCTGCTGCTCATTTCTGAAACTGCCAGGGGGGATAAAAAAGTGAAAATTACTTTTCAGCCTGCTTATGATCAGGTGTATTCTGAATTACTTGATAATGACAAAGCAAGGCTGCCCTCACCTGGGTCCCCCAGGGGGTCACAAGTCCTGTCAGCAAACCTGCTCTAGCATGGGCTGCTCTCTCCACGGACCCACAGGTCCTGTCAGGAGCCTGCTCCAGCATGGGCTTCCCATGGAGTCACAGCCTCCTTCAGGCACCCACCTGTTTTGGCATGAGAACCTCCAAAGGCTGCAGGTGGATCTCTGCTCCACTGTGGACTTCCATGGGCTTCAGGGCACAGCTGCCTCACCATGGGAAGCATGGGAATCTCTGTTCTGGCACCTGGAGCACCTCCTGCCTTTCATTCTTTACTGACTTGGGTGTTTCTCACACCAGAGATGTTTCTCAAACATGTTCTCACTTCTTTCTCTGGCTGCTGTTGCTCTTTTCCAGTTCTAACAAATGTTATCTCCGAGGCACTACTGGTATTGCTGATGGGCTCAGCCTTGGTCAGCAGCTGGAGTCGGCTGGCATCAGCTCTGTTGGGCATGGAGGAAGCTTCCAGAAGCTTCCCATAGAAGCCACTCCTGTAGTCCCAACCCACTCCCAAAACCTGGCCATGCAAACCCAATACAAAGCTGAACTATGAGCTGAGGTGAGGTTTACTGAGAAAGAGCAGTGCATGGACATAGGAAGGAGGGGAGTGCCATGCCAAGGGTGACCAGTGGCCTGCTGGATGCCAGAGCCACCTCTCTGCTCAGGCTAAGGGGCTCCATCATGCAGCAGCAGAGTGTGGTCACCAATTGTTGCAGTGTTGTTGTGAGGGTCCCCAGGACAAGGTGAGAGATGAGAATTGACTCCAAGTTCTCAGAAGGCTGATTAGTATATTATATTATATTATATTATATTATATTATATTAATTATGGTATATTATGGTATATTATATTATGGTATATTATATTATGGTATATTATGGTGTATTATGGTCTGTTATATATTATGTTATGGTATATTGTAGTATATGATATTATATGTTATGATAGTATAGTATATGATAGTATAGTATATTATAGTATAGTATAGTATATTATAGTATATTATAGTATATGAAAATTATATACTAAAACTATACTAAAGAAAGAGAAAGGAGACATCAGATGGCTAGACAAGAATGAATAATGAAAACTTGTGAGACTCAGAGTCTGACACAATTGGCTGTGATTGGTCATTAAGTTAAAACAATTCACACAGAACCAATCCAAGATGCACCTGTTGGTAAGCAACCTCCTAAACCACATTCCAAGCAATCAGATAATCATTGTTTACATTTCTTTTCTGAGGCTTCTCAGCTTCTCAGAAGAAAAATCCTGGTGAAGGGATTTTTCACAAAATATGACAGTGACAGCAGAGATTCCAGGGCACCCCAAACCGTCCCCATCACAGCTGCACCTCACTGCAGCATTTCTCCCCACAGGCTTGGCATCGCTTTCGCTTATTACGGCGTCATCTTGGCCAGCGCTGAGCTGCTGGAGCGGGACCCCGTGTGTGGCTCTGCAGCCCTAGCACTGCAGGACTCCAGTGATGACTCTGAGGAGAGCCACAGCCCCTGCCACTGCCACTTCTTTGGGCCTGCTGCCTACCAGAGCATGATCATCAGCACAGCCGGAGAGATCGCACGTAACTGCTTCCCCCATCCCTGCCCTGCCATTCCCCTCTCGCAGTGCTCACTGCAAAGGTTTGAGCTGTGCCTGCACTTGGTGACAGGGAATGACATGAAATGGGCACTGCTGGCAGCTTCTGGGATATACGGACCACAAGCCTGTGGCCCCTGGCTCAGCAGGGCACTCAGTGGGGCACACCTCAGGCTGGGTTGTGGGCAGAGTGTCTTGGTTTGGAAAGACAGGAGTCTGCTAAGGAAGGCAGGAGCCTCTCCTGAAATGGAAAGTATAAACCCTCCCCACCTCTCCAAATTGCTATAAATTTCAAATTAAGGGGCTCTCAGGCAAAATATATGGGAGCAGGAAATAACAGTTCTTTAATAGAGAAGAAAAAAAAAAAAGGATAAAAGAAACAATGCAGTACACTAGAACAACACTGACAGAGTCAGAACGTAACCTGACACCCTGTGGGTCAGGGTGTTGGTAGCAGTCCAATTGGAAATGTGGCTGCAGTCCTCCTGGAGTGTCAGGTGTGGTTCTGTTGGAGCAGGGGATCCTGTAGAAAAGGATGTAGTCTTCCTCTGAAGATCCAGTGGAAGGGAGAGGCAGCTGTTCCTCTGGGAAATCCAGTGGAGAAGCCATGCTGGTGTTTCAGAACCTCTGGATTATATCTGGGTAGCAATGCTTGGCTCCTTCGTCTGGGCGGAGCATCTCCCAATGGGGTGTTATAGTTCTTATCAGCCATGCAGTGACATTCAATGGCCTGTTATCAGCAGATGTCCCCTCCCAGAGGGAGGTGTGATTGTGATCACTCAGAGAGAGAGAGATAAGGCAAACTGCCCACTTGAACAAAAGACAGCTGCCATACAGATGGTAATAGAATACATCTGGCCTTGCAAGCTGGAACAGCAGAGGGAGCAAAACCAGCCAGGCCTGTGCTGCTCACCCAGTCATGCCTTCCTTGCATGGCTCAGGACAGACATTGGTGTCCTGGCTCAGCACAGCCAATTTCAGAGCAGCACAGGCTTCACCATCTGAGGGGAAGGGTGGAACAAAAGAGACATGGGGCCAAATCACAAACTTTGGGTGCAGGAGGAGAATTATAGTGTTTGTGCATTTTACTGGATGTTTGGTAGGCACCAGGTATCTTTGAGTCATACTGTGTAAGGTCTGTCAAGGCAGACAATCATTGCAGTTTCATCAAATATTTAATGGTTTTCCTTTTTATTTCCAGTGAATCCTGTGAACATTCTCAGCATCAATCTCCTCGGAAGACGTCTAAGCCTGTGTATTACCATGGGATGTACAGCTCTATTCTTTCTTCTCCTTAATATCTGCACCTCAAGGTATTCTATGGGTGTTGTTTGAGGGTATGCAATGCTGAGGGCAGGAGCTCTGGTATTCTCAGATCACCAGTCTGTCAGGCCAGTAATTCTTGTAGGTCTAAGAAAAGCCTCTGATAGGCTCTCCTTTTCCTGGGAAAGCCTGTGGCAGCAGATTCTGTGGTGCAGTGGTGTGCAGAGGGGCTCACTTGTACTTGTACTGAGCCCACATGGCCTCCCCTAAGCATCCAACAAGCTGCTTTCTGGCACAGTCCAGAAAATTAAAAAATGTGTGAACAACATGCACTGGAAAGAAGTTATATTTTTCATTCCCTGTTTTTCTCCTTTTTCTTTCTTTCTGGCATCTCTGCTGATGCTGCTTGGTGACATTAACTCTGTCCCACATGGCTTTCTCTCCAGGGCGGGCATGGTTGGCTTTCTCTTCATGCTGCGTGCCTTGGTTTCAGCCAACTTCAACACCATCTACATTTACACAGCAGAGGTGGGTTCTCCTTGAGGTATGTTGAGCTGCTTGGAGGTTTCAAATACCGTTTGTGTATACCCAGGAATGCTGCTTGCTAGCTTGTGGACTAGTTAAGAGTCACCTTCCTAGATCTCTGGCATCTTGGCTGCAGTGTTTTCATATGCAAGATAAAAGAAGGAATCAGAAAACCAGCTTGGAGATGACAGGAGTAGATGGAAGAGGAGTGCCCTACTACGCCAGCTGTTACTCAGCTCTTAAAAAATATTATTTTTGAGGATGTTGGGTACCACTGTCTTCCAAAACCCACAATCTTTCCCCTATTTACCCCCACAGTGAGAAAACAGACTACCACTAAAAGGAACATTTTCCAGCACTTAAGGGGCTGTATGAGGTAGTATATGGGGTTCTATCTATGTTTCTTTTCACTTAATGGAAATTGCTATGTTCTGTCTGCAAAAGGTTTTAATCCTTTAAAGATCTTTTCTTTCACACAACTTTGGAGCCATGAGTTCTGTGAGTTAAGTTTAAATTGTTTGGTTTGGTGTTTTTTGTTCTTTTAAAAAAAAAAAAAAAAGTATGGTGTTAAATGGATTTCCTTGTTAATTGATTAAAGTGATCCAAAGCAAACAGAAGTAGCTCCCTTGCACTTTTAATAGTGCACTGTAATATTTAAACTTGCACCTGGCCTTAATACCACAATTTTAGCAGTTTTGAATAAGTTGCTGTTGATGTAAAGACCATTGCTGTACCAGCCAAACCATAAATCAATTCTAGTCACAATTTAATCAATGATAAAAATCTTTTGAGCCAAGTGCCTGGGCTATTCTTTAATAACTTACTCAATTTGCTTGGCCCAGTAAAGTATTAAAAAAGGCTTATATGAGTATACTTGCTAAAATCTGTGGATATTAAGAGGACTAGAAGTTCAATAAAATTCACATTTAAGTGTTTCATTGGCACAGGTGTTGGGGAAGTGTGAAAGATAACACAAGGCATATTTTTCTAAGCCTATTTCTTACTGGGATCTGTTGTTCTTTTTCTTTCTTCTAAACAAAGATGCTGTTGATAAAAATGAATAGGCAGACTTGAACTCTGCAGACAATATCTTTGCTTCCTGCTTCCAAGTTACAGGAGGGCCCAGTAATATAAACAAAATTTTTCCTTTACCATCCAATCTAACCTCTGTGATTTTGATCATAGGGCCAGGAAATGAAGTAGTGGTAGTGATGCTAAACAAATGCTAAACAAAGAGGAATCACAGCCAGCTTTGACTTGCCCTAAAACTTTACTTGGGGCAAAAAAATGAGATATTTGTAATGACTCAAATGAGGCCCAAGGGAGCTTTTATTTCTTTTCATATCTTATCCTATTAGCTGCCCTTGATAACACAATGGGTCTCTCTGATAAAAAGTTTTAAAAAGCTAAAGGAAAGTACAGATATTGCAGATTGCTGTTGCACTAATCCAGTTTATTTCTGGCCTGTTTTAGGTTTATCCCACCACAATGCGAGCGCTGGGGATGGGGACAAGTGGGGCATTGTGCCGTGTGGGAGCAATGGTGGCTCCTTTTATATCACAGGTAATAGCATGCTTGACAGTGTTGGTAGACATTGTGCTGAACATTACCATCAAATACAGAGATGTCCCTGAAATTCATCCAAAAAAAAAGGGAGGATGTAATCAATTCCCTCCCAACCCCATATACAGAGTGCTTGGGTGGTCCATGCCAGATGCAGCTTTGAGAAACTCTCATCACAGAGTTCAGCTCACTAGTATTTGATACTTTCTGAAAGCTCTTAAGGTTCACTAGATACTGTTTTTTCTATTGTGGAGTTGATAGTGGAACCCTGGAAAAAGTTAAAGATAGAATCTAAAATGTTAGGCTTTGTGCTTTCCCAGATCAACTGCACCTGCGTAAGCAGTATGATAAGTTATATAATTGTTTAGTAATTAAATGTAATTATTATATAACCATAAGAAGAATAGTGAGAAACTATGTTGGAAATTCAGAGAGGGGCTAAATTTATGTATACAATAGAACAATATAAGTTTAATAATTGACATGAAAGTTATGTAACGATAGAGTATAAAACATGATCATTTTGGATGTATGGTCGGAGTCAGATTTGGGTTGAATATACCCCGATTCCCAGAGCTCTTAATAAAAAGCACCGCATATAATCCCCCGTGATTATGTGGTTTTGAATGCTAACAGAGTCTCTCAGGCACTTGTGACCCTTTGTCCACTCTTAATTGCTATTTAGTGCCAATCCCCCACACCAACGAGCTGCTGTTTGATGGTCTTTGACCTGCAGGTTCTCATGAGTGCCTCTTTCTTGGGAGCCCTGTGTCTCTTCTCCTCTGTGTGCATCATCTGTGCCATCTCTGCAGTGACACTGCCCATCGAGACCAAGGGCAGGGCCCTGCAGGTGGGTACCACACCCCAGGAGCTCCTGTGGCTCCAAAAGCTGTTGGGGACTTGTGATGATGCAGCCAGAATCCAAGCCCAGCTCTCCTGAGGTTTCTCAAGCCTGACAGCCACTCACAGGAATGTGCGGAAGGAAAAGCAGCTTGAACCACTGCTATCCCATTTGCCCAAAGCTTGCTTCTTGTGAAAGAACAAGCCGGGCTCCCTGCCCCAGCCACCTCGTGTCAGTATGTGAGCTTTAGCTGGTGCAAGCCCCTCTTTACGTCTCTCTCCAATCCGGACTTGAAGGTGCAGCTTCTCAGGCACATGCTCTGCTCTACCTTTGCTGCAAGGAGAGAGGACAACACACGCACAGAGCACCTAAAGTACCAAAGTAATTTCTTAATCAAATTCAAGGCCCCTTCATCAGTCCATCAGCTAAACACTTGTAGTCAGTGTTCTCTATAAAGCAATTAGCCAAAACACTAAGCCCAAAGATTAACAGGGAAGGTTTAAATGTGTAAGTCACACCAGTTTAATCAGAGGAGGTGGTGAGCAGTCCTGTGATTCCAATAAATTCATCTACACCAAAATGGAGATTTTCATGGCATGCAGCAGCATGGCCACACCGCTCTGTGTCTATTCAATTTCAACATTCTATTCACTTCACTTCACTACACTACTATTCTATTCTATTCTATTCTATTCTATTCTATTCTATTCTATTCTATCCCAATCGATTTCATTTCAATTTCAACAGTCTATTCTATTCTATTCTATTCTATTCTATTCTATTCTATTCTATTCTATTCTATTCTATTCTATTCTATTCCATTCCATTCCATTCCATTCCATTCCATTCTATCCCAATATAATTCATTTCAATTTCAACAGTCTATTCTATTCTATTCTATTCTATTCTATTCTATTCTATTCTACCCCAATCGATTTCATTTCAATTTCATCATTCTATTCTATTCTATTCTATTCTATTCTATTCTATTCTATTCTATTCTATCCCAAAAGATTTCATTTCAATTTCAACAGTCTATTCTATTCTATTCTATTCTATTCTATTCTATTCTATTCTATTCTATCCCAAAAGATTTCATTTAAATTTCAACAGTCTATTCTATTCTATTCTATTCTATTCTATTCTATTCTATTCTATTCTATTCTATCCCAATCGATTTCATTTCAATTTCAACATTCTATTCTATTCTATTCTATTCTATTCTATTCTATTCTATTCTATTCTATTCTATCCCAATCGATTTCATTTCAATTTCAACATTCTATTCTATTCTATTCTATTCTATTCTATTCTATTCTATTCTATTCTATTCTATTCTATTCTATTCTATCCCAATCGATTTCATTTCAATTTCAACAGTCTATTCTATTCTATTCTATTCTATTCTATTCTATTCTATTCTATTCTATTCTATTCCATTCCATTCCATTCCATTCCATTCCATTCCATTCTATCCCAATATAATTCATTTCAATTTCAACAGTCTATTCTATTCTATTCTATTCTATTCTATTCTATTCTATTCTATTCTATTCTATTCTATTCTATCCCAATCGATTTCATTTCAATTTCAACAGTCTATTCTATTCTATTCTATTCTATTCTATTCTATTCTATTCTATTCTATTCTATTCTATTCCATTCCATTCCGTTCCATTCCATTCTATCCCAATATAATTCATTTCAATTTCAACAGTCTATTCTATTCTATTCTATTCTATTCTATTCTATTCTATTCTATTCTAGTCTATTCTACCCCAATCGATTTCATTTCAATTTCATCATTCTATTCTATTCTATTCTATTCTATTCTATTCTATTCTATTCTATTCTATTCTATTCTATTCTATCCCAAAAGATTTCATTTCAATTTCAACAGTCTATTCTATTCTATTCTATTCTATTCTATTCTATTCTATTCTATCCCAAAAGATTTCATTTCAATTTCAACAGTCTATTCTATTCTATTCTATTCTATTCTATTCTATTCTATTCTATTCTATTCTATTCTATTCTATTCTATCCCAATCGATTTCATTTCAATTTCAACATTCTATTCTATTCTATTCTATCCCAATCGATTTCATTTCAATTTCAACAGTCTATTCTATTCTATTCTATTCTATTCTATTCTATTCTATTCTATTCTATTCCATTCCATTCCATTCCATTCCATTCCATTCCATTCCATTCCATTCTATCCCAATATAATTCATTTCAATTTCAACAGTCTATTCTATTCTATTCTATTCTATTCTATTCTATTCTATTCTATTCTACCCCAATCGATTTCATTTCAATTTCATCATTCTATTCTATTCTATTCTATTCTATTCTATTCTATTCTATTCTATTCTATTCTATTCTATTCTATTCTATCCCAATCGATTTCATTTCAATTTCAACAGTCTATTCTATTCTATTCTATTCTATTCTATTCTATTCTATTCTATTCTATATCCCATTCGATTTCATTTCAATTTCAACATTCTATTCTATTCTATTCTATTCTATTCTATTCTATTCTATTCCAATCGATTTCATTTCAATTTCAACATTCTATTCTATTCTATTCTATTCTATTCTATTCTATTCTATTCTATTCTATTCTATTCTATTCTATCCCAATCGATTTCATTTCAATGTCAACATTCTATTCTATTCTATTCTATTCTATTCTATTCTATTCTATTCTATTCTATTCTATTCTATTCTATCCCAATAGATTTCATTTCAATTTCAACATTCTATTCTATTCTATTCTATTCTATTCTATTCTATTCTATTCTATTCTATTCTATTCTATTCTATTCTATTCTATTCTATTCTATTCTTCTTCTAAAGAATAGAGAAAGTATGCCGACAAAAGTCCCAAAAGATAATAATGAACCTCGTGCCTCTCTCACCAGTGTCCTGACTCAGCTGGCTGTCATTGGTCATTAAGTCAAAACAACTCACATGAAACCAATGAAACAATCAGATAAACAATCTCCAAACCACATTTCAAAGCAGCAAAACACAGGAGAAGCAATCAGATATAATTGTTTTCCTTTTGCTCTGAGGCTACTCAGCTTCCCAGGACAAGAAATCTTGGCGAACTGATTTTTCATAAAATATGATGGTTACAATAGGCTAAGAATAATCCGTATTCTTTAGCAGCCATATTCTTAATAATCCATATTCTTTAGAGCATGGCAGGTGTTTGATCAAACTAGTTTAGGAGGGCTTCCAAATCAGGATTCAAAACCCATCTCTTCAAACACAGGGATCACCTGTCAGAAGTGAGACCTTTTGGACTTATCCAAACATGTTATTTTCCATATCCATTCCTGTTGGGGTTTTATGCGCATTTTATTAATTTAATGTATTCTTTTTTCTTTCCCCCTTTTTAGCAAGTAAAATGAGAGCGAATGTTTGATGTTGGATTGGATAGGAAAGAAAAAACACCCCTGGAATCTGTCACTTCATGGGAGCTGCATTTGTTGTTCATTGCTTGTCCATAGCGTTTCCATTATAAAAAATGCAACTGAACAGTGTAAGAGCTATTATTTGTGTAAACAAATGATAAAGTTCTCAAGGACTTGTTTTTTCTTTTTATTCAATAAACAGATGTTTTCTACCCTTCCTGGGAAGTAAGATGAAGATTCTTTATTTCTAGTTCTATCAATAGTGACACTACATACATAATAAAAAAGAGGAAAATCATTGAGTGAATTGAGGTAACGGGGGAAAAAATACACAAAGCAGATGCAGTCTCTGCCATATCAGCTTGCAAGGATGTAGTACTTTCCTCAACTTTTTGTGCAAATACCATCTGTGTGGAAGCAGTAGAATTTGGATCTCAGTCCACACTGCAGTGATGATTTCTGATCATTGTTAGGGTGATATTTAAGACCACAAAATGAAAGGTGAGTCAGATTTTTTCAAGTGGATTATTTGAAGAGAGAGATTCTCAAGCAGTTTACAGCATACAGGTAAGTAACTGGATGCAGAGAACTTCACTCTTCTCAGCTTTTTCCACTGTGAGAACAACCTGAGAGTGACGTTGGATCTTTAGGACTTCAGGTTGTGGTGACAGCACCTCTTGATTTTTTTTAATTGTCTGCTACTGTATAATCACTGATTCTACAGTAATGTGCACTGATCACACTTCTGTTGCTAGATTGGTCTCCATCACCATTTTGTTCTGCTTCTTTACTTCTCTTTATTCTTTTCTATTTCCTGGTACCCTGGGATGGTATAGCAACTCTCTTCAAGTAGTTAAAGCTTTCTGTAAAAAAAAAAAAAATCAAACCAGACAGCAACAACAGCAATATTAAAAAAAAAAAAGAAAACAAACAAAAGACTCTGGGCAGCCTAAAAATCCACCACATGATCGGAAGTTAGTTATGTCAAAGGCCTGCTGCAAACACAACTGAGTATTTTTTGGGAGTGTCCTCTATCTTTCAGTGTGCAGTGCCACCCCATGACAAAGACAGGTAGGCAGGATCTCAGCAGGTGAGAGGCAAAACCAGGCCTTTTTCTCATAGCACATGTACACAGCAAAGAGGCACAGAGCATCTTCAATGCACAGAACTATAACAGGGCCTGATTCTGTTGTTCTGGCTGTCAATTTTGTCTTGCTGAAAATTGCTCCATATTTTAATAAACCACTTGCTGAAGGCTCTGCTTGATACAACAAAAAAAAATCTGCAAAATCAACTCTTGGAATTAGCATTTGGTAAATTATTTATGGATATTTTTTTTAAAATCAAAGTCTTTCATATCTAAAAATCTTTCAAAATCATGGAGTGGTCTTCATTATCTGTTTATCCCTTAAAAAAGAGGGGTCCTTCCATCCACAGCAGCTCCTGACCATGACTGAAAGGTCTGTGAGTGGAAGACAGGAATAGATGGACTCACAACTCACCTGGAAAATCTTGCTATCTTTTATTGTTTGTTTGAGTTTTTTTGGTATCATGATGTGACAGGGTTTGATACTGAGAATCATGAAGGGGCACCATTTGTGTTGACATAGTTTTTTCCACTCACAAACCAAAAAAGACTGCTAGTGTACATTCCTTAAGCTTTATTTGCAACATCAACCTCATTATACAGTTGAGACAATAAAAAAGTAACAAAGCTCACATACACCCAACAACAGCCAAATATTACTTTGTTACAGAGCATCTTTAAAACTTTTTAAGCAAAAACATTTTACTAAAGCTTACAGACAGTTGTTTTAAGCAATTACTAAAAATACACATAGACTTACTTCACACAATATTTACTAATCTTCTTTCTATTAACAATACACCATTATTAAACTTAAAACTTTCTACTATCTTGCTAAATACATTTTTGTACAATCTTAAAATCTATCTTGACCAAGCCTAAAACTCAAACTAGTGTTTCATATCTTTTATTACTATACCATTATAACTTTTTCTACCTTCAAATTAAAAGACTAAAACTATTTATAAGTTTCTCTACTCTTTCTGTTTCTAAAACCTACATTTCCCAAGTTTCTAAAAACCTTTTTTCCTTTACTATTTCCCCCAACTCTGACTGACTTTGAAGCCCCAAATGCTACCTGTGACCTGACCACAGGACACTGTGGGAATGAGATCTATTTCCTGTGGAATCTGACCATTATTCGCATGCTGTTCCACCAGCTAACAGCAGGAGGCAGAAACCATGCCCGATTTCTCCAAAACCAAGCTGCCAGCAACCAGCACCCTGCACATCCTTACAGCCCCAAACGCCACCTCTGAGCTGATACCCAGACCCTGGGAAATGACTTATTTTTCCCAAGGAAAACAGCCTCCATTTGTGGCCACTTGCGCTGGGTGAGTGGGGTGCCAACCTACAAATTTGAAAACTTCACTGGATTTCTTCAGAACTAAAGCTGACAGAAACTAGGACCAAGGATTGCCTTACAGCCTCAAATTTCAACTCTGAGCCGATACCCAGACCCTGAGGAAATGACTTCTTTTTCCCATGGAACACAACTTCTGTTTGCGGCCATTCACACTGGATGATAGTGGGGTGCCAAATTAAAAATTTGCAAACTTCTCTAGATTTCTCCAAAACTAAAGCTGCCAGCAACCAGCACCCTTCAGGCCCTTACAGCCCCAAATGCCACCTCTGAGCTGATACCCAGACCCTGGGAAATGACTTATTTTTCCCAAGGAAAACTGCCTCCATTTGCGGCCACTTGCGCTGGATGACAGTGGGGTGCCAACCTACAAATTTGCAAACTTCACTGGATTTCTTCAGAACTAAAGCTGACAGAAACTAGGACTAAGGATTCCCTTACAGCCTCAAATTTCAGCTCTGAGCTGATACAGAGACCCTGGGGAAATGATTTCTTTTTCTCATGGAAAATGGCCTTCATTTCCGGCCACTCATCCTGGATGATAGTGGAGTGCCGACAAAATTTGCAAACATCGCAGGATTTCTCCCAAACTAATATTGCCTGCAACTAGGACTCTGGCTGCCCTTGGAGACCCAAACACCACCTGTGACCTGACCCCAGGCCACTGAGGGAACAAGATTTTTTTCCTATGGAAAATGACCATTTTTTGTCTCCTGACACAGCTGGCTGGTTGTGGGGTTCAGCCTCCTAAAATTGCCAGCATCGCACAAGCTCTCCAAGACAAAAGCTGCCTCCAACTGGCAGTCTGACTACTCTTGGAACCCAAAATGCCACCTCCTACTTAACCCCAGGTCACTGGGGGAAGAAGATTTTTTTCCCTATGAAAAATGACAACTCTTCATGTCCAGTTGCATCTTGGAACAGGGGGGTGCCACCTCCTGAAATCACTAATATTGCAGGATTTCTCCAAGACAAAAGCTGCTAGCAACTAGGAATCCAACTGCCTTTGGAGCCCCAAATGCCAACTCTGAGCTGACCCTGACACACTGAAGGAATGAAGTTTTTTTTCCCATAGAAAATATCCACCACTCACATCCAGTCACTCTGGCTGACAGTGAGCTGCCGCCTCCTAAATTTGCCTATTTTGCAGGATTTCTCTGGAGCCAAAGCTGCCAGCAACTAGGACTCTCACTGCCCTTGGAGCTTCAAAGACACCTCTCACCTGACCCCAAGACACTGGGGGGTATAAGGGTTTCTTTCCCATGAAAAGAGGCCACTGTTCCGGTCCAGTTCCATGTGGCCTTATTGCAGGTCTACTCAAAAACACGAATTGGCAGCTGCATGTGGATACTTGCAGGCAGGTTTAGGCCACTTTAGAAAGCTTCAATTCCTGTTTTTCCAAGGTCCCATCACAGATAATGAGCTTTTTAGAAATCTCTTCAATGGCGCATTAGAACCCGAGTAAGAAATTCAGATCTAACCTTTTTTTTCCTTTGGTCTCACAGCCCAAATTCCAACAGGATAGACATGTCCCTCCCCTTGGAAGGCAACCTCTGCCTTCCCCAGCTTTTGGTGACCTCTGTCTCCATCCTCCCACATATGCTTATCTCCCTCCTCAGCAGGGTTGGCTTCTTCATCCTGTGGAGCAAACACAGGGACAGTCACCAACCTGCTCATCCCAAACCTGGGCAGCACAGCAACTGGTGGAATCCTCTGGATGCCCCTATGCTGGGCACTGAAACAGGGGGTTGGAAATTTAACTCTGGGCAGAAACCAATTTTGGATTTACCTGGGGTCTGCTTGTTTGGTATGTTAACTTGTGTGCTCACAAAAAGGCCTGCAGAGAGAATAAAGGAGACTCGAATCAGAGACTACCCTGAAACAGTGAACAAAGCTCCTATTCCCACACCCTCTGCCCCCCCAAAGGCCTGCTGGGGCTGGACAGAGCAACGAAAACATCTAAGTTCCTACTAAAAATTTTCCCCTTGTGCCCATAAATGCAGAGAAATCATGGCTGCTCTATCCCTGGAAATGTCCAAGGCCAGGCCAGATGGGGCTTGGAGCACCCTGGGCTAGTGGATGGAATGGCAGGGAATGAAATGAAGTGATCCTTAAAGGTCCCTTCCCACCCAAACCATTCCTCAATTCCAGGATGATTCCATGATCTCTCCCCGTATTTATTTTGCATCATTTCCTTTCAAATTTGAATTCCCAAATTCAAATGATTTTTTAAAGGAGTACTTTAAAATTATTCCAGCAATATGAAGGGGGGCATCAAACACACAGGAATCATTCCTACACCCATCCAATCATTATTATTTGGAAACCTATTCCCTCATTTCTGTCCTTGTTTTCCTTTCCTGAAAAACCTCATGATCCCACAGTTTCTCTGAGAGATCTACTGGGATTACTGGAAGCTTTGTTCTGTCAGAGAGCCAGGAGAGTTTACAACACTTGTTCTTCTGTATCTTTATAATTTAACCAGCTTTCCCCCAAAATGGTGTTGTGGGAGAAGTTTGGAATTACTAGAAAAGAATCAGGGTCACCTTTTTTCCTCACTCTTTTCCAACTACTTCCAAATTCTTGGAATCACCCTCAAATGAGGCCGAGAAATCTACTGTGAAAATATCAATCAGAGGAACATCTTGAAAAGAGAAAACATGCAACAGCAGCCAAAACAATCCCATTTCTATTCTTACCTGGTCTCACCTTCCCTTTGGGACAACCAGGAAGAACATCTCCATCATGGATTTCTGACAGGAAAAATCTCACAGCTCCAGGCTAATTGGCTCCTCCCAAATCCAGGCCAGCACTCCAGTGGGTTCTAAAGAATAAACAACAGGCAAGACCATTTCAAGGCACACACCATGAGCTGGGTATCACATTCCTCACTGGAACTGAGGTATTGACACATTTCTGTGACAGCCAGAAGTATCTCCATTTCCTCACTCTTCCATTCAGGAGAAAGAGACAACAGAGCCCTTAAACACCCAGCATATAATCCCAACAATGCAGGGAAAACCACCTCACTCTGGGGAGAAACATCATCATGCCCAGTTCTGGAAAGTTCCAAAGAGCAGCACTGGAAACATTTCCAGGCATGGAGCCTCCAACTCTGGAAATGCAGCTCCCAGGCTTCCTTCCATGGGAACCCCATTCTTGCCTGGCACTGGGCTCAGGGAGAAATCCCCACCTGTTTCAGCAGCCTGGCACACAGCATATTCCATGGACATCCCAGGAGGGTGTCCCTGACTACGGAATGGGGGTGGAACAGGATTATTTCAGGAGTTTAAGGCAGATTTGAGCCGCTTCTCAGCCTGCAGTTCCCAAACCATGTCCCCTGGGCTGCCTTTCCCACACCTCACTGGGAAGCAGTGGCTCCTCTCCCTGCACAGCCAGTTGCTGTGCCCTTCCAAAAACCATCAGAGGACACAAGTGGTCGATTCACTGTCTGCTCTGTTTTCCATGTTACAGCACTTCAATGCCTCCAGAGTCAGACAACCAGGATAAATCCCAGGTTATAGGCACTGGCACAAAGCAGCTGCTGCACTGGAAGGGACAATTTTAGTGGCTCCTCTCCCCTTAGCTGGGAATTCACTGCTGCCAAGAGCCTGGCAGTGATCATGGATTTAACATTTCCTACAGATTAATCCCCAACATTCACTTCCAAGTGCTGCTGGAGCATCTCTCCAGGGAAAAAACTGTGCCCAGTTTCCCAGGATGGATGGGAGGCTGCCCCTGATAAGCTGAATCTCAGCAGAACTTCAGTAATTACTGAAGCTTCTAAAACAGGGACTCATTTCCAGGTCTTAGAGCAGCTCAAATCCTATGGCTCACCAGGATTCCTAATAAAGTGCATCAAAAATGTGTCTGTGTGGAAGAATCTTCCCTTAACCCAGTTTCAGGCTCCAAGGGCAGCCAGAGTCTAAGCTGCTGGCAGCTTTGGTCTGGGAGAAATTGTGGGTTTTAGTGGGCTGGCTTGGTGGGTTCTCAGAACATCACAGCAGTGGCAGCAACTCTGTCTCACTATCCCCAAGCCAAACTCTTCAGGTAAATGCAGAGATGGAAGACTGTGCTGCCACCACTTAGGCAGGCCCCTCTTTGCACAAGTTATGGTGCAGTTAGGATTAAAAGAACTGTAAACAATTCTTCAAGAAAAGTGCTCAAACTCCTCATTCACTCCTTTTCTACTAATAACAAAGTCAAAGCTGATGCTCTAAAGCAATTTAAGAGCACTAGAAAATCTAGTATGCAGCGGTATTTTACCACACACAGTTCTTCTTGCTCCATGGATGTGTTTGCAGTTGGGAAACTGCTCATAGGAAGTTGGGTGGTTTGGGGTTTTTTTAAGAAAAAGAGATATTCTGCCTTTTTAAGAAAAGGGGCCATCTGAAAACAAATGAAGTCCTCTAAATTCAAAGGAACAATGCATTGAGTAAAGCTATGGACAATTGTTCACTGATCTCAAGCTCTGTCCCCCAAACAAACAATGCTGGAAAACTGGTAACAATAGATCAGGAGAAGGCTGAGGTCCTGAGCAGCTTTCTTACCTGTCTTCAATGACAGCCTCTCTTCCCACATTTCTCAAGCGGATGGACAGCAGGATGGGGACTGGTAAAGCAAAGAGTTTTTACCCTGAAGAAGCACAAATCAGGTTCCCTTGACTCAGAGGGTGACACCTCTAGAAACAGAAAGAAAAGAAGGCAGAGGTTATTGCTGAGCTGATTGGAATAAATTCCTAAGTCCCACACATGGGAGAGTGAGTGTTTCCCATGGCTGCCACACCCTGGTGCAATGTTTTCCAGAAACAGCAAGGTTTTCATCACTCTTCCCAGCAAAATCTGGTATTCCAGACTTTGAACCTAGGTATTCCAACAAAATGACAAATCTGCTTTCCCAGTACTATTCATTATACCCTTGGGTCTCTTGGGAAGCCAGCACAAGCAAAACACAGCAGCCCTAGGAGGGGAAAACACAGTATTTCATATTCTCTTGTATAGGTAAGAAACAGTCATGGATTTTGTTTAGCTCTCCAGGGATTCCTTCTCCAATGTTAAACGTGGCAGTCCATAACTTCTGAGCTCATCATCTGATGGATGATGTGCTTGGAGAGAAATGAACCTGAAAGCTTTGTATAGAACTTTGGCATTTTTCATCTCACGTCATCTCACGGGTGCTGCTGCATCTTAAAATCCTTTGTATTCATTTTTCTACAAAAGTTTCCAAAGGATTCAACTTTCTGAAGCCAAAACAGGCACTGCAGAATAACCAGTGTTTCAGGGGCCCTCTGCCTTGCTGTTACATTGCGGTTACATTTCATACTTGACCAGGAAAAAAGGCCAACAAATATATTCGTCACTGCTTATGAATATCCACATTATAGTCTTATGACTAATTATCTATCTACTGGCAGCACTTCACTGCAAACATTTCAGATCAGAACCAAGAGACTTAATTTTTTCTCTTGGCAAGGGGATGGTTGAACTGTCCCCCCACAAACCTCTGCTGTTGTTATCTTATTTCAAAAGTTCCATACCTTCTCGGTGATTTCTCACGGTCATCTCCTCACAGCACCGACTCCTTCTTCTCAGTGCAGACAACAAACTTCAGCCCACAGCAAAGACAACAAGCTCCAACTCTCTCCCACCCAGCTAACCCACTCTTCTATAGCACTTGTCTTCTTATTGGACACAGCTGTGGCCTGTTAAGGGCAGGCCTGTTCCTAATCTTTGGTGATTAGCACAGCTGCAAGGTGTGAGATTGCCTTCTGCACTATTCTCTTACATTCTATCCCTCCACACTCTGCAGAAATTAAAAAAGTACCTCAGATCAACAGGTATTGCAATGGTGAAAATTATGCCAGTCCCAAACAGTTGTGTAGCCTGGATGGGATATTCCTACTCCATACACGGGATTTCCTGTGATCTATGGAAGCAGAGCAATTGTCCTGTGAAAAGCTGCAGTTGGGTGAGAAGGACAGGTAGACACTGCTAGGTGCTATATTAGAATCACCATATAAAACATTGCCAAAGGTGCTGTAGGTTACAACCCCAAAACTGCTTTCAGTAGTGGGGAGAACCTGCAAGACAGAGGATTCTATCTTAGCACAACACATGGGATACACTTCCAAGTCTCGGAAGAAATGCTGTGAAACTTTTCGTTTGCCAGAGACAAAAAACTTCC